GGAAAGCTCGGAAATCAGTTCCCCAGCTACTTCTCATGGTCTTCCAGAAATGGGACCAAAACTGTCAGCCCACATGCTGAATTGCACCCAATAACTATTGGCTCTAAGCAGTCCCTGATACTAAGGGACATCCTGCAATGTAGTGTGTTGACTCATACCTTCAGTGAAAGAGTATAGAGTCCTTTGTCCAGTGGCCCAACTAGAGACTTGGCTAGTTGCTTCCACAATGAAAAAGATCATCTTGTTAAATAAACTTAATAATGGAGAGTGGTGCCTTGTGGGGTGCATTGCTATAGACTCCTCTTTTGAAGTGCCCTGAGTGGCCACTTTGCTAAAGAAGAGGAGGAGGGGGATGAGAGGGTACAAACATCCAAGACCTTCTTCCTCAATGGGTATTACTTGGCTTTGATAGGTTTGACCCACCCCGTGATAAGTTCCTTCCTTGTTTGGATCACACTTGTAGAGGCCCTAATGTTCCTGAAAAGTGGTGGTCTCTTGGGTCTACACAATGAGGGACTGAGAACAGTAGATAGTAAAAAACTATTAGCCAGACTCAAATTTCCAAGTTTGTCTCTGCTACGCCTGCTGGCACTGGTCACCAGGCCCAGTTAAACCTCTTCATGAGATTGGGTCAATTTGCCCATGATACCCTCCAAGTTTTTATTTTTTTTTAAGTTTATTTTGAGAGAGAGAACACATACCTGTGTGCACCTAAATGGGAAAGGGGCAGAGAAAGAATCTCAAGAAGGCTCCACACTGTCAGCACAGAGCCCGATGTAGGGCTCAATCTCGTGAACTGGAGACCATGATCTGAGCCAAAATCAAGAGTCAGACATTTAACTGATAGACCAAAACTTAATTGACAAATTCCCACATGTGGAAAAAGCAGTCACTGGCAAGAAAGCAAAGACTGACCAGGAGAAAGAGCAGCATAAGAGTAATAACCCAGTGTCCTGTCCTGGGCAGCTTGGGCAAGGCCTTTCCAGAAAGATCTCTGAATTTGGTTACTTGGTGACAGTGTCAAAGGAGGAAATTGATAGGGCAAGGAATTTAGGGCCTGCCTGTAGGGCACCTGATGGACAACCCTTCTAGTGAGCCTGGAGATGAATCGGAGAGTACCACTAATCTTACCTGGACCTGCTGGCATTTGAAAGTAAACAAGGTTAAGGGATGGGCCAAGGGCCCTCTTTTCCCAAGGGGGACCAGAGGCCCTATGCCAAGGTCAATGTTCAATGAGGATGTGGGAGAGAATTGCACTTCTTGGGTCTTTGGCTGCTAGTGCACAGGCGACCATGATCCCTGAAACTCTAGCTGCAGGATGAGGGGGAAACAAAGCTCTACCACTGGGACCCTAGCCCAAATCTAGTTATAAGTGGGTCTTTTGGGTTCCTACAAACTTCTTTTGCTATGGCTCCCACTTGTGAATGTATTATTGGCATAGGAATACTTATGTCTATAGATGACTTGCCTCTGGCCCAAATCCCTGATAAGTGTGGCTTTATTTTAGTGGAGCATATGGATGAACCTACCCAATTACTTACCAGTGCCTAGTTCCATTGTCTATCCAAAACAATATTGGCTGCTTGAGGGAGAAAAATAAATAATTATCCACATTGCCCATCTCAAGGACGCCAAAGTTCCATGAGATGATTTCTTCATTCAATAGACCAGTTTGGGCTGTGCACAAGGCCTTGGGTATCTGGAGACTCACCATTGACTATAGGAGGCTCAATGCCATAGTCCTGGCAGTACCTGGTATTATGACTGTCACAGAGGCTATTGCCCAAGCTGAAGACACTTGGTATGCAGCAGTTGCTATTGAAAGTGCCTAAAAAAAAAAAAAGAAAAGAAAAGAAAAAAAAAAAGAAAATGCCTTTTCTAGCATCCCCTCTACCCAGATGATCAGGATCAAATTCACCCTTATGTGCAATGCATTGCAATACACCTTTAATGTCCTACTACAAGACTACCTAAGTTGTCCAGCTGTCTGCCATGGATGTGACCTGGAAAAAGTCCTGCTCCTGGAGGGAGCACTAGGGCACTTTGTTACATTGGTGACACCCTTTTGGTGGGCCCACACAAGAGCACCACCCAGTAGGAACTGGATGTCTATTGACCAATATGCAGCAACACAAGTAGGTCATTAACATAGGTAAGGGACAATGACCTAGAACCCAGTGAAACTCTTGGGGATTATCTGGGAAGGGATGTGATGTCCCATTCCAGAGATGACTGCCTTGACAAACAAAGGACACCTAGTGATTGGTGGGCCTCTTTGGCTAATGGTGTTCTCACATAACCAATATAAAGATCTTGGTGGCATCCATCTACTCGATTACCAGAAAGCCTACCTTAAGAGTAGGACCTTTAACAAAATGCCTAGAGGCCCTCCAATGGGCCACCTTGGTTGATCTTTCTTTGGGACCCATAGATAGATGCACATTTGCCTTTGAGTTACAGGTCTCAGCAAACTCTGAGTTCATGGATTACAGCCTGTTGCAGAACAGTGCCATGGGCTGGTCGCACGATTTGGTGTTTGAATCCATAACTCCTAGAGTTGGCTGAAACAAACCACTTTTATTGGTTTGTCAGGGCTTTCTTGGTACCTCAAGTGCACCAACCTTATTAATGTGGACATTATACATCGCCACAACTGGATTCTACAAGAGCAAAATACCTCCCTAAATGTAAACTCACTCCTGTCAGAGAAGGAGGCAACCAGAACATCTAGGAGAGAAGTGTGGGATCTGCCATCAGAACTATTTTGGCTACAGTGGTGGTAGCCTTCCCTCCACTCACTCCTGCCCTGTGTAGGCTGTGTGGTTATTCTGTCATCCAATGAGAAAAGGTTGTACATAATCTATCCTCATTGAGAGGACTCTCCTGAGGAGTCTGATTGAAACTACTAATAATACCATCTCAGCCTCAACTCCTTGGCCCAAGTAGTGTTGCCTAACCACATAGTCCTTGGCTTCCTGCTGGCCAGTCAAGGAGGGTCTGTGCTATTGCCAACACCTGGATCAGTGAACCTGGCAAAACAGAACAGTCCATTAGGGGGCTTGGATGCTGGCTCTCGAGGGTAGACCCTAATGGGCTATGGATCTTCTTCTGGCTTAGCAGTTGTTGGGGCTCATGCCTAGATGCATTCCCTGGGCAGGCCTGATATTCTACTTAGAGTGACTTTGATCATGTTCCTCAAAATGGTTAAACAGACTTACCACAATGTCTGGCTCATTTTAGTCCATCATGGGGTTGCCTATGGTTCTTGTTCAGGCCCTGAGGATCAAGGCATAGAGCTGAGGAGTCCAGTTCCAGGCCAAATTCCTGTTTGTGATCTTTTAGGCCCAACCACGGGTAGTTATAAGACCTTGCCTACCAGTCCTCGTGGGAAAAAGCTGCCCCCCACCCCTCAGCTGACTTGGTGGCATACAGGTGCACTATAGGTTTCTGAAGGGAAAGGAGTCACTACACAAGCCAGCCCTGCTCATATGCATATCTGTATTTCCAGCCTGGGCACCTCCATTCAGAAGCCTCCTTCCTGGGGGCCCTGCTGAGGCATTTCCCCCCTATCTACTTTAGTACTTTTCCATTGCTAGCACTTTCCCCTTTTTCTCCTTCTATTCCTTCCTCCTTCCCTAAAAAGATAGGAGAATCCTTTTGTTTAGGGCAGTGAGAGAAATCCCCCCATCTGCACTGCCTGTCCCTTAACCGTTGCCTGATGCTGTTTCATAGGGAAAGATCTTTTTGCATCTTGCTTGCTCTGTAGAAGGAAGTAAAGAAAGGCTTGATTGTTACTTTCAGTTTGGCTCGTTGTCCTACTTGGCCATCTTGATGCCTGATTGCATACCCCTGGGTGATGGGCTCTCACAGATGTTCGTTTGTTATAATTATACCTATAAACTTACATACATTATTTCATAGTATACCAAATACAGCATTCAGATATAATTTTTAAAATGGTGTCTGAGTTCCGTAAAGACTCAGGGATCTGGTGTCTGGGGCTCTGTGAGGCGAGAGTGGGTGGGTCAAAAAGCACCTCAGATGCTGTGGGACCAATGAGGCCCTGGGGATTTGTGGTCCACTTCCCTCTTAGGGCTCTGGGGAGAAAGTGCTCCCTTTGAAAATGAGGATGGGGATAGATCACATCCTTGACTTTACCCAGACCTTTTTGCCAGGGGGATATTATACAAACTGGGAGTCAAGCCCTAAAAGGGCGGAGCCTGCAAGAGCTCAAGAAGGACTGAAGTCAGCAGGGGAAGATGGTGGAGCTTCTCTGAAGCACTTAAGTCATGCCCATGGAAAGAAAAACAGATGGCAGGTCACCCCACCTGCAGAAGGGATGCACAAAAGGGCCCAAGGGTCGGTGGCAAGGATAGACCCTTCCCCTGGCGGCCAGCACGTGACCACCCTTGTTCCACTGCTACCACTCCCTGTGTCCTGACAGCATACGGAGAGATTAGGGGAGAAAGAGACACTTTGAGAAGAAACAGCCATGACAGGAGGTTCAATTTTTGAATAAATAAAGTACTCATCCAAATGAATTTCATTTAATTTAGGCCATTTTACACTTGAAGGGACCAAGCGTCCCCCTCCTCTTAACCCCATAGAAATGGAGACCAGAGAAACATGAGCTCAGATATAGAATGCTACATTCTTTACACATCTGAACTATGTATACGTTTCAATCATCTACATATATACATTTTTACATGTGTACAGAGGCAAATGCACAGAGCAAAATCTAGAAAGATTGTTAGCACACAGTAAAAAGTTACCCTTGGAGCAGGGAGTGAAAGTAAAGTGCTTCTGATTTTATTGAAATGCATACATGTATACTTGTCTGTTTTAGAGAAAAAAACCTTAAAGCTTACATATAATTATTAATCACTTACTATATGCCAGCACAGTGCTAGGTACACAGCAAACAAAGGCTTAGTAGAGAGAATCCTTCAGCTCTATTCATTTCCTTATGGTTTGATGAGTTCAGCCAGGGGCGAGAATTATCTGTGGATTCTTTGATGCTGCTTTAAGTGATCAGATCGTGCGAAATTCCTATTGCATTTAGTGCATAGGTAGGGTCGCTCCCCACTATGCTTTCTCTTGTGTCTGCTGAGCTCATCTGAACGCGGGAACTTCCATGTGCATCCCTTCACATTGCATTCATAGGGCTTCTCCCCTGGACCAGAGAAAGAAAGAAATTTGTCATGCTTCTGGGTAGCAGGGAACAGGAAAAATGAAAGTGAATAGAGAAGATAAAGGTTTTAAGCATGTTGGGGTGGGAGAGGGAGAGCCAGAAGAGAGGAGACTGGAGGTGGTGAGTGAAAGAGGAAGTGAAGGAAGGCAGCATGAGCTAGAAGGGCAAGAGGAAAGTTGTTAAGGAGGGAAAAAGAGAAAATGAAAAATCTGCACCTCCCCAGCTTGTGCTCTTTCTCTCTCAAAAATAAATAAACATTAGGGGCGTCTGGGTGGCTCAGTGGGTTGAACTTCAGGTCATGACTTCAGCTCAGGTCATGATCTCAGTGTTCTGTAAGTTCCAGGCCTCCCCCCATCTGGTTGGCTACTGCCAGCGCAGAGCCCACTTCAGATCCTCTGTTTCTTTCTGCCCCTCTCCCATTTGCACTCTCCCAAAAATAAACATTAGAAAAAAGACAGTGAAAAACGGGAAAAGCAAGGGTCAGCAAGAAACTCAATATAAGGGTATTGGAAAGGATATAAGGAGGTTGGGGGTGGGTGTCTGTTGGGCTTAAAGAGAGGACCATGAAGTGTCCATTCCAGAAGAGGTGAGGTCAAAACCATCCATAAGAGGTCAGATAAATTCTTCCACTTATTCTCATCATCAACAACACAACAGGTTGCAGCCAGATTGGCTCAGACCCAGAACTATAGTCTGTCTCTGGGACTGCTTTATCCACCCTTTCAAACAGGCTAACTTTTTCTAGTCTTCCAAGGTCCCAGGCTTTGAGAGAGGAGTCAACAATCTCAAATGATTCCAAAATTTCAAAAGGGCACAAATCTCTAATCACTTGCTTGTCACACCATCCGTCAGCCCTACCCCTTACTTACCAGTATGTTTGCGCTCATGGATTCGGAGGTGGGAAGGCTTAGTATATGATTTCCCACAGTCTTGGTATGTACAAGTGTAGGTCTTCAAAATATTAGGATTCTTCTGGACTTGACATCTCTGGGTCTTAATGTTGCACTTCTGCTTTTCTAGAGATTGTCCATGGATCAAATGAGAACTGGAAAAGTATAGGAATCCTGGGCTTGGCAATGATGATGATTGATGTGGTATCATATGGTCTCCATAGACAGTGTGGTCTGTGAAGGTTGCCATATGATCTCCCTTAAGGGTCATCATCTGACCTCCACAGAGGGTCTGGTCACCACCAAAGGTGTTCACCTGGCCCCCATAGAAGATCTGGTTTCCACTGTAGGCCATCTGTCCTCCATATAGGGTCTGGTCATCATTAAGTGGTTTCATCTGGCCCCCATAGAGGGTCTGGTCCCCGCTGAAGGTCATATGGCCTCCATAGAAGGCCTGGTCACCACTGTAGGTCTCCATCTGGCCTCCATAGTGGTTCTGGCCCCCAGTGAAGGTCATCTGGTTTCCATAGAGGGTCTGGTCATCACTGAGGGTCTTCATCTGTTCTTCACACAGGGTTGTCATCTGGTTCCAATTCAGGGTCTGATTACCGCTGAAAGTCATTGTATGGCCCTCGGTGAAGTTTTGTGTACCACTAAAGGTAATCATGTGGCTCTCTTTAGAAGCTGTCATCTGGCTTCCATAGAGGATCTGGTCAACACTGAGGGTCCTCATCTGGCTATCTTCATGGGGGACTGCTATCTTGTTTGCAGTTATCTTTTGGCAAGCAGCAAATGATGCCTCTGGGTTGTCAATAACATCTGTCATCCAGGAGGTTGTTGTGGGTCTTCTCTCATCAAAGAGGGTCACCTTTTGAATCAAAGAAAAAGTTTCACTTAGGTCTCCAGGGGGCATATCAAGGGCTGTAACAATGGGTATTGTTGAGTTCTGAACAATGACTGTCCTGGGGATGTTAGAACAGGTAGAACTCACCATTGTAGACTTCAGTGGAGTCACCAATCTCTGGGTTGACTCATGTTGGTTGTCTTCACCATGGTCAATCAGAGGTACATGGAGCTGTGGTTCTGGTGCAGCTGACATTCTTGCCTTATATGTCTCAGAGACATCCTTGAGAAACTCCTCAATTTCCTCAACTGTTTGAAGGAAAGAGTTCATGGCAGGTTCTTTGTTATTGCTGGGTAACTGCACTGGATCCTCGGTTGTGGGATCCTGCAAAAAAAAAAAGAAGTTCAGGGGTCTTACCCAGCTCAAATCCCAATTCCATATACCCTTCCTCTCCATGTCTGCCATTCCTAGCCTACTCTACACCACCATCATTTCTTCTCTAAAAGCCTGCGATGGTCTCTCAATTTCTCTGAGTCTGAAATAAGAAGGAACATACCTCAACATAATAAATGCCATATATGACAAGCCCACAACTAACATCATACTGAATGGTGAAAAGTTGAGAGCTTTCCCCTAAGGATCAAGAACAAGACAAGGGTCCTCATTCTCACCACTCTTATTCATCAAGTTACTGGATGTCCTAGCCAGAGAAATTACACAAGAAAAAATAAATAAATGGCACCCAAATCAGAAAGGAAGAAGTAAAATTGTCTTTTTGCAAATCATATGATCTTATATATAGACCATATATAGAAAACCCTAAAGACCCCACCAAAAAAACTGTTAGAACTAATAAATGAATTCAGTAAAGTTGCAGGAGACAAAATTAGCACATAACAATCAGTTGTATTTCTATACACTAGCAACAAATTATTGAAAGAGAAATTTAAAAAACAAAAGCACCAAAGCCATAAAATTCTTGGGAATAAATTTAACCAAGTGTGAAAAATCTGTACACTGAAAACTGTAAGACACTGAAGAAAGAAACTGAAGAAGACACAAACAGAAAGATACCCCCGCTCTTGGGTCGAGAGGATTCAAATTGTTATAATGTCCACGCTATCCAAAATGATCTACAGATTCAAAGTAATTCCTAACAAAATTCCAATGTCATTTTTCACAAAAATAGGAAAAAAAGTTCTTTAACTTTTAAAAAAATGTTTATTAATTTACTTTTAGAGAGAGAGAGAGAAAACGTGTGCATGAGTGGAGGAGGGGCAGAGAGAGAGAGAGAGAGAGAGAGAATCCCAAGCAGGCTCGCTCTGCATTGCCAGCGCAGAGCCTGACTTAGGGCTTGCACTCACAAACCGTGAGATCATGACCTGAGCCGAAATCAAGAGTCGGAAGCCTGACCGACTAAGCTACCCAGGGGTTCAAGGGAAAACAGTTCTAAAATTCAAATCAAACTAAAAAAGATTCAAAATAACAAAAGCAATCTTGAGAAAGAACAAAGCTGGAGGCATCACTATTCTTGATTTCAATTTATGTTATAAAGCTTTAGTAATCAAAACAGTATGGTGCTGCCCTAAAAAGAGACACAGTCCAATGAAACAGAATTGAGAACACAGGTCAACTTACACATATAGGTCAACTAATCTTTGACAGAGATGGCAAGAACACACAATGGGTTAATTTATCTTTACTGTTTTATTTATTTCTGAGAGAAAGAGAGAGAGAGAGAGACAGCGTGAGCAGGGGAGGGTCAGATATACAGAGGGAGTTACAGAATCTGAAGCAGGCTCCAAGCTCTGAGCTGTCAGCACAGAGCCCGACACGGGGCCAAACCCACGAACCATGAGATCATGATCTGAGCCGAAGTTGACGCTTAACCGACTGAGACACCCAGGGGCCCCTAAACTCCTTTTTTTACACCACTCACAAAAATTTACTTGAAATGGATTGAAGACTTAAATGCAAACTTGAAACCATAAAACTCCTTAGAAGAAAAACATAATGAAGAAACTATGTTTAACCAAAGTTGGCAACAACTTTTGGGATGTGATACAAAAACGCCAAGCAACAAAAGCAAAAATAAACAAGTGGAACTGTATCAAACTGAAAAGCTTCTGTACAGCAAAGGAAACAACGAAGTAAAAAGCAACCAACCTGTGGAATGGGAGAAAATATCTGCAAGTTATCCGTCTGATAGGGGTTAATATCTAAATATAGAAGATACTCATATAACTCAATAGCAAAAAACCAAACAATTCAACTGAAAAATGGACAAAGACCTCAATAGATGTTTTTCCAGAAAAGGTTTACAGATGGCCAACAGGTACAGGAAAAAGTGTTGCTCATCATTAATCATCAGGGAAATGCAAATATAAACCACAACGAGATAGCACCTCATTAATTGTTAGAATTGCTATTATCAAACAGACCAGAGATGGGGTGCCTGGGGGTCTCAGTTGGTTACATGTCTTGGTTTCAGCTCAGGTCATGATCTCAGGGTCGTAAGATCAAGCTCTGCGTTGGGCTTTGCGCTGAACTGAGCTGAACTGAACGTGGAATCGGCTTGGGATTCTCTCCCCCGCCCCCCACCTCCACTTGTGAACTTGCTCTTGTGCATTCTCTCTCTCTCTCAAAAAGAAAAGAAAAGAAAAGGAGAAAAAAAAACAGACAAGAGATAACACATCCTGGGGAAGATGGGGTGAAAAGCAAACCCTTGTGCACTGTTGTTGGAATTTGTAAATTGGTATAGTCATTATGGAAAATGGCATGGAAGTTTCTCGAAAAAAAACCCAGTAGATTACTATCCATACATTCCACTTCTGTGTGTTTACCTGAAGGAAATACAATCAAAATCTTAAAAGAGATATCTGCACATTCATGTTCATTGTAGCATTATTCACAATAGCCAAGCTACAGAAACAACCTAAGTGTTGTCAGGGTGGATGGATAAGTAAAGAAAATTTGGTGTATATATACAATGGAATATTATTTGGCCATAAAAAAGATAGAAATTCATTTATAACATGGGTGAACCTGAAGGGCATCATGATATGTGAAATAAGTCAGAGAAAGACAAATACTGTATCATTTATACGTGGCATGTAAAAAAGAAAAGTCCAAACTCAGAATCAAAGAGTAGAATGGTGGTTGCTGGGGGAGGAAAGCAGAGGGGGGTAAAACGGAAGAGGTCGGTCAAAAGGCACAAACTTGCAGTTGTAAGGTGATTAGTTCTGAAGATCTAATGTACAGCGCCGTGACTACACTTAATGCTGTATTGTATCCTTGCTGCAATAGCAGATCTTAAGCATTCTCACCTACACAAAAAGGTGACCACGTGAGGTGATAGATGTGTTAATTACTTTAATTGCAGTGATCATTTCACAACGTATACACGCATCAAATCATCATGTTGCACACTTCAAATATATTCGAGTTTGTCAATTATAGTTTAATAAAGCTGGGAAATTTAAAACAAAAACAAAAACAAAAAACAAAAACGGTTTTCCGAACAGGAAAAAACGAAAAGAAGTAAGATGGGAAGAAAGGGAGAGAAGGAAGGAATCAGTCCCATCCGCGATATGTCTCCCTCTCCAGATCTACTTAATTTTTAACCGATCCACCCAGGCCCCTCCACCTCCTCAGCCTCGCGTTCTGCCCATCCTTCCAATCTCTTCCACGACGTTCGAAGTCGCCCATGACCAGGCGGTGCAATCTGGGGACTCTGGGGGACCAGGTGGACAGCGGCCATGCCCTCGAGGAGACTTCGGGGACAGCAGCCAGCAGGCCCAGCGCTAACAATGTCTCCTGTGCAGGCCGCGTCTGTCTGGAGGAAGGCACTCCCTGGGCAGGGCAGGCACGCGGGGGGTGCGGGATGCTCAGGAAACACGCCCCCCCCCCGAAGAAATGAACCATTTCGCTTGGTTCGGCCCCTCCTCCCCATGACGGACCAGCAATCAAGACTGTCCACCTGAGAGCTTCGGACCTTTCCCACTCCGGGCCCCGGCCTTTGCCCCTCCGTTTGAAGGTGCAGACTCACCATAAGTGGCTCCGGCGCGTTACCAGGACGCGTGCTGTCGTGTGCGAAGGAGAACCAGCACTGAGTGGCCGGACCCACCGCCTGGCTTCATATAGGGCCAGACCGGATGCGCGGGGCTCCCAGATTCGCGCCTTTGGTTGGCCACGCCCTTCGGGGCGGAGCCCAGGGCACCCATCCAGCCACCTGTGCAGTCTCAGGACGCTACCGGTCGGGTTACCTACCAGGCGAATCCGGATGTTATTCCGATCGTTTGCCAAGTGTTTCCCCCGGTGCCGGGAAGCGATTTGTATGCATCAGCCCATTTGTCCTCAATAATCCTGCGAGATGGATGTTAGAATAGTCTTTATGCTATGCGGGAACTGAAGCTCAGAGACAATGAAGTCATTCGCTGGAGGTTACGAAGAAAGCCAATCTCAGAGATTTGAACTAGATTTGAACTCAACGGTTTTGCGCGTGTGGTCTGTCCTTAAGCATCGGACGGTACAACCCTAAATCCAATCAGCCACTCGTTTCTGCGGAGTCCATCTCTTTACTGTAAATTTAGTCAAATTACTTCCAAGGTAAAATTCTGGGTTCAATCAGGTCACCTAGAAATGGTAATGGCATTTTTGATGCCTAACTACCTTCCCCCACCCCTCAAGTCCCTGAGTCTGTTTCACCCCGGCGAAGTGACACACGCCTGGGGTTGCATGAATGACTTTGGACCCGCTCCGGACTCTGCTCTAGGTCTCCATTTGGTCCCCAAGACCGATGACCCAACTCTCACCAACTAGCCTCGGGGCTTTAGCGATTCCCACGAAGTCCTGCCCTAGGGCCACCCCTCCAGCCTCAGGTCTCTAAA